CTTCGATAAATCAATTATGATAATTGTTTACTTCCCTGTAACCATTGATGCCTTTTTTTTGTCGTTACGCATACTCTGTGCCTCGGGGCAGGCATTGTGTGGGGCGCCACGGGATCGCTTTCGCTTGCCTCCGCGACGCCCCACTGAACCATTGATGCCCTATCTTAAATTCTACTTTAGCTACAACCCTGATGTAAATCTAAATGTTAAAAGTAAAAGGGGTCTTTATAAGGTATAGATAAAGTAAGATATGAGACCTAGTTTTAGTACAATTATTACCTTTAGGCAAATTCTTCAAGTCTTGTTGTAAGTAACGAACTATTTTTTTTAATATTTCACTGTCTCAACCGTATGAGATAAGATTGTATGTTTTTTGACCTCTCACCGGCTTATGTTTATTATTATAATATATTTATATAAACAAATATTTTTATTGTAGCCAATGTCAATGTCAAAATCTTTAGTTTTAAATTGACTTCAATTAGCACAAGGCGCGATGATAATTATTCCTAGAATATTGTTGATTTATTTTGAAAAAAAAAAACTGTAGTTTTCTGAACCACCCATAACAAAATTAGAGTAGATTCTATAATTATAATTTAAGAAGAAACTGTTTCATTTTTATTTTTAGAATTCGAGTTTCAGGTCAAAAACAAGATGAGGTCTACGGTCCTTCCTCGTAGACCGTCGTAGCGTAAATTAAATTAAAGTATTTAGTTGATCATTTCTAAATATCCAAAATATTACCAACTATACGACCAATATTTATTACTTCCATTAAAACTAAGAACTAGAATTAGCTTAAAAAACAGAATTTTAGATAGCTTCAAGTTTATATTATATTTTTTATTAAAAATCAACTTTTTTACCTCAAATTCAATATAAGCTTATTGAAATTTTAACAATCCAATCGAGATTAATTCATCTATTTAGACGGCAAACTCTAACAGACATCCATCTAACTTTTCCCATTTATAATATTGGTAAGAAGTAAGATTAGTTAAGAATAAAATAACTTACAAAGTAGATCCATAGCTTCCGTAGCCGTAACCAGCTTTACATAAATAAATCGCGCACAAAAATATGAACGCGTGTTGTAAATACATTTTGCAATTAATTGTTCGTATCCATTTATAATTAACCTTAACAATATGATGTACTTAATGACACGTTCGTCGGCCTGTACGGCACAAACCGAACTGATACCCGGCGACTAACCGAGCATTATAAATGTATTATTTATTATTACAGAACTCAGGATATTCATACATCTGAATCCTACCGATAAATAAATTATCTGCAGCCACAGGATTTGTCTAATAATTATAAATAATTCTATCATTATCTGTATTCAGAGAAACTTATCAGAATGTTGTTCCACTTAAAAATAAATAGTAAATAGGTTAAAGGAAAACTAAGATATCGGTTCAATGATTATCTCTTTCGAATGTACTTAGCCGTTATTTTAATTCAGATGACCGTATAACAACTTTAGACGCTAATCAAGATATCGCAATCATAATAAAAAGAAATTCCGGAAGTTTTTGTAAGGGGGATGGGTATTTTTTCATAACATAATATAAGTTATTTAAATAATGTCCACGGTGATAAATTGGACCTATTGTCTGAATGCGCAAAACAATTTAAAACCATAACATGTACCGAATATTTTCATAAATAATGTATCCAACTCTTATATCGGTATTTTTTTTATCGGTTCGTTTAATTATTTTATATTTCGCATTGGCTTTCGCTCGCGATCCATCCGCATGGAAATAAATAACAAGAGTATGTAGCTGATGTGTTCTTTCAGATTATGCTCTACATCTATGCCATCATCGAGATCAGTTCAGAAGTAAGACTACATACTCTACTCTACAATCCATCGCAACTTTCGCATTTATATTAGTAAGAAGTAAGATCAAAATGTGTTCGGTTTTTCCTTATTTACACAAGTCTAATCTTCGATTTCGCTATAAAATACATAAACAATTATAACTGAACTAGCTGTTACCATGCAACTTCATCTGCGTAAATTATTAAAATTTTATTACATTGTTTACATATGTCAAATTATCAATTGCAAATGTCAAAATGACATAACATGACAAACCTTGGCAATCTTGCTTCCTTGATGTTGGCAGCAACTTATGGTCTCTTTCCCACATTAGGGTTTTTATCCAAAATAACTACCTCTTAAGTTTAATGACGTGAAAAGATATAGCCTAAAGCGTGACGTCAGTGTAGCGCTTTTTATTAAAAAAAGAATTATTCAAAAATATGCTGTTATTGCTGATATCTTAGACAAGAAAGAAGTGTGTTTACACTTTATTATAATAGTATAGATGAAGTTTTCCCACCTGTATGACGAAAACAAACTGTCGTATAAATCCATAGATCTTTTTTATTGCAATCTGCCCTTTCACATCTGTGGCGCCCCTTTCTATGTAGCACCCTGGGCGGCTTCCCAACCGCGCCCTACCCAAACGCCCGCACTGAAAGCGTGAAGTCTTTCCCTTTTTTTTAATAAGGACAAGATAAAAATAGCCTGGAAGGAATGAACATGCGGAGGGAATGGATACAAGTACAAATTATACTTTTATCTTAAAAAACATTGCAGCAAGACCATCTAATACGCGCAGCGCAGAACAATCAGGTAAGCCCCGCAAGTATCCGCTTCGGGGAACCTTTCCGAACATTACCGTCCTTTAGTCTTACTCGCTATACGACCTAAATTCAATACTATCCACAGACGTGGCGATCTCCCAACACCGTTACGCTACATCTTAAAAACTGTTGTGAACATTGATAAATCGAATTGGCAGCAAGAATACACAATAACTGCAAATATTTGTAAGTCATAGGAACCTATTGGAAAAATGACGAACTATGTTTTAAGGTAAAATAAATGAGGTCAAACATGTAATTACTAAGTTCGTGACACATTTACCTATAAATTAATCATATAGACGTTACTTCTACTTTATGTTTATCTCTTTGACATAACGGAGATTCTGAAACCCGCGTGGGTTGTTTATATCCGTTAACTAGTTATATCTTAAAGGATATCCATGCCCTAAGGGATGGCATCAATATAAATTGATGCCGTTTACACAATCCAAATATGTAATACTAGTCTATGTTAGTCTATGTTAGTAGTATGAAGAGGTAAGATTTGTGTTTTTGGGTTTTTTATGTTTTGAAACAACTCTAAAACTAATGGGCTTTTTTAAAAATTCTGTTACCATTAAAAAGCAACGTTATGGGTAACATAGGCATTTTTAAATTCCACGCGGGCAAAGTCTCGACAGCTATATTAAAATGAAGGAAAAATTAAAAATAATGCGAAATTTTAGTGTTTTTAAAAAATGATTACAACACGTGAAATCTTTTGACAAATAAGTGCCACTATTGCGGGAAATAAGTTAAAAGGTCAATAAATGTTAATTATACAGAACTATACATAGATAAAGAGTGAAGTTAGACTGGGGTTTTTACTACTTTCCTAATAATGCGATTAATTAATAATGATTAGTATTTGATTCATGTATAGCAGTACGACACGTAATGTTATGTCAAGTATGTAATCAAAGACTAAGAATAAAATGGCAATCTTGAGGTCAAATAAATAAAAACACTTCTGTTTGTCGAATGTTTTTATGATTCTCTTACTATCTCTCCGGAATATGTGCAATAATTGTTACATAAAATAGAAAAATAATTATTATTTTTTCTCCAGATTTCTGTTTTATGATCGTATTAGCAGGCATATAATTCTACAGGCCTTTCTGATTAAAAATACCAATGTTATATTCGAACCGCAATCGTAAGGTTACAGTACAAATTGAATGGAAAGTTGAGTTGTTGGAACTTGATAGGAATTTGGTTTAGCCAGCACACAAAAATGATTAAATAAATAAAGATTGTTATTTATTCTCATATAAACTAATATCAATACAAC